CCCCTCCTCTGTATTATCCCTCCCTCCTGTCCTTGCCCACATCCCCTCCTCCATCCCCAGGCAGTCACTGGTCAGGTCTCTGTCACTATAGATCAGTTTGCATCTTCTAGATTTCTATATAAATGCAATCGTACAGTATGTACTCTTTTTGTCTTTGTTTTCACTCAACATGCTTATTTTGAGATTCATCCATGTTGTTTGAGCATCTTTTCATGTGCTTCTTTGCCATCCATTCATCTTCTATTCAAATTGTGTCTCATTTTAAATCCGAATTGCTGCATTGTTTTTCTGTTCTTACACGATTCAGGTACATTAAAAATAGGGGCTTTGTATCTTTGTTTTTCCTCAGTGCTGGAAGAACAATTCAACAAAGTTAATGGAATTATCTGGAATGATGGGAAAAACATAACTTCTTTTGCCACTTTGGGAGATTGTTTATAACATAATTTTTAAGTGTTTATCAATATAAATTAAATAAGTTTGTAAATATATTTCTAATAAAATATTGACACTTCAGTTCTGTTTTAAAATGAGCCTTGAGGCATGCCTGGGTGGCTCAGTCCTTAAGCGTCTGCCTTCGGCTCAGGTCATGATCCTGGGACCCTGGGATCAAGCCCACATCGGGCTGCCTGCTCAGCGGGGAGCCCGCTTCTCCCTCTCCCACTCCCCTTGCTTGTGTCCCCTCTCTGTCTCTCTCTGTCAAATAAATAAAAACTTGTTTAAAAAATAAATAAGTAAAATAAATAAAATCAGCCTTGAGAGGCAAACAACATATAAATTGCCCCCAAGGAGGGGTGCCTGGTTGGCTCAGTCTGTAGAGCATGCGACTCTTTTAGTATATGTGCTGCCGAAGCGAGCACAAGCATGCGACTCTTGATATCAGGGTCGTGAGTTCAAGTCCCACATTGGGTATGAAGCTTACTTTAAAAAAAAAAATGCACCCAAGGAAGTGTGATTTGCCTCTGCCACCTCAGAATGTGTTTCTCCCCACACTTTTGAATGAAGTATGAAGTTTGGGGTTTTCTAGAGCTTAAGCTTCCTTCTAGCTTCTCTCCACC